TAACAGGAGACTCTTGAAGCAAATCTTTTGAGCTTCCTTGGTGCTTGCCTCTGAGCTTGCTCCTGGGTATTTACAGAGGTTGGCATATCTTGGTGTTTGCAGTGAAACCTGGCAGGCAAGCCTGTTGTAGAGAATTTCAAGGTCATTTTACGAAACTATGGCCTATGCTTAGAAAGAGTTGAACCCTGGCTACAGAAGAGTCCGTAATTAGCAGCCCCAGGGGATGTGGACGAGTGTTGGGGGGGAGGCTAATTGCAGACTGACTGTCTCCTTGGCCTTCAGCAGCTCCCATGAAGCAGAGAAGCAGTGTGCTCAGCCAAGCACCAAGCGTGTCCTAGAGAAAGGTAATTCCTCCCTGGCCTGCCTGGACCCGTCCCTATAAACAACGAGAGCTGCTCTGGGAGAGCAGTGCTGCAGATTTCACAAAAAAAAAATATGTCTGTGTGAGTTGGAGGCGTATGCTGGGCATGCAGAAGGGCTCCTCGAGAGACAACACACAGCTATGTGCCTCTACCTTAAAGAGTCTGCGAGTCCCTGCTCTGCCCTGAGGGCTTGGGGGGGTCAGCTACCTCCCTCCCCATTTGTGTACTGTAGTGAAGTGCCAACCCCAACACCCCAGTGTGTTGCGTCCTCCCCTTGCACATGGGTGAACGCTCTGCTCAAACCTGGATGAAGCCCCATCTGCCTGCACATGCGGAGGAAAGCCAGAGTCACACCTAACCCCTCCGCCACCTCCCCATGTGCTCCAGTCAGACATCCTCCCCCTTCCTATCCACATACTTTGAACTCAGTTTATTTCAAACACTGTATTAGCATGACGAGCTAAACAAGTTTTGACGAAGGGGAAGGGAGGCAGAGCCCCTTGAGTCTTGGTCTGAGGCTGACACGGTGACTCCAGCCTTTGCTTCCCATGGGGTTTTGCTTGCATTAGAGCAGCCATCCTGCCTGTTGGGCATATTCTCTACACGCCTTCACCAGGGCAAGTCACTGTCATGAGAGGGCCCTTCAGTTTCTGTTTCACGGCAGCATTCATGTTGGATTTAGCACCCATTGGGGCAAAGGCTTTACAGTGAGTGTTGGCGGGGCTCAGGCGAGGCTGTTGAGAGGAGAAACTGTGCAGTGCTGGGGCAGCTCCTTCGCAGGGAGCTCACCTGAAGGAGCAGTGGTGTCTGCGATGTAGGTTCCAGCTGGGAACAGAATTTTTCTTGAAGAATACAGTGTGTAAGGTCACAGAGCCATGCAGAGTGAAAGCTGGAGGCACCTGTGCAGGGCTCAATGTGCAAGAGCTGGGATTGTGGCGTGGAGCTGGTGGTGAGCAGAGAAATGAGTGGGATGCCACAACCAAATACTTGAGGTCAGAAAATCCCAATTTCAGCTGCCTGCTCCCAGGAGTGATGCAGCTGGCACAAACTGAGTGGCAAATCCACCACTGCCAGGCCCTATGCTCCCTGCCCCACATGGAAACACTGTACCAGGGAAAGAGGCAAGAGCTCGTTGTTTGCTGCACAGTTTTGTGGCTAGTTAGAAATGGCCAGTAGGGGTCACTGATATATATTTATTTTATTCTATTTTTATACATATTCATTTATAAATACACAAAACATGCAGAGGCAGCAATTGTAGTGGGCAAGTGTTGATGTGCAGTGTGTTCTTCAAGTATGCAGGTTGGGGGAAAGTGCCCCTACGTATGTTAGAAATACCAGTGTGAGCTGTGCATCGTGCCCTGCTCAAACCCTGTGATGGCATGAAAACACCCAGCTATGCCAAGTGCCAGGGTACTGCAATGGTGGGTATCTGTTGTTGTTCTCCAGTTCTGCCTTCGTCTTCCATTCTGTATTGCCAGAGAGGCTTTGAGAGAGATTCAAGAGGTTCAGAGATTCAAGCCTTGAGGGTAGGATATCGTGTCTGCTTGTTTTTCTGTGCAGTGCCCAGTACAATTACATCCCAACCATGATGGGTGCCTTTAGGCAGTCCCATAAGACAAACAGCACTTTGGGTTGGGATGGGTCAGCACAGTTCTGTTCTTCAGCCACTGATGCTGGGGATCCTGACAGCAAAGAGTTTGCTTGTGAAAAGACTCCAGGATTTTTTTGAGTATGGCATCTCAATTCAGGTTACAATTAAGCCCCAACCCTCACTCTTATGTAGTGGTATGGACTGAATTATACACGTGGGTATGTTGTTAGCAACTGTTTTATTGGTGGGGTGTATTTTTCTGGTAGATGTATGCTCCAGGCATACTGGCAGGATGTATTTGGCTGTCCAATTCGGCATCCACAGACTTGTTTGACTGTCCCAGGCTGGCTGTGTTTCACTGATCTTACTGTTCCTGAAATGCTGTTAGTTTTGGGTGCTGAGTTCCTCTTGTGCTGGCATATCCCAGAGTGAAAATTCTGCTCAAAATAAGTCTCAAGTTTTTTGGTTTTGGTGGGCTCAGCCTCTGAGGGTTTCCCAGCTGAGGTCTACAGGGGAATCCTCTGTGCAGCCGGAGTTAGAGAAGCGGTGGAGGAGGCAAGTGTTTCCTAAGTATATCCCTTCAGCACTGCAGCATCCAAGCTGGAGAAAATGGGACTTGATGCAACTGTCTGGCAGGTGACAGCCTCCAAGGCAGCCACCAAGGGGTGGTCCAGCACCCACCATCTTCCCTGCTTGACCTGGTTTGGTGGGAAACTTGAGAGGACCAAGCCTGCACTGCCTTCTTCTGGTGGGGAGACATTAATTCTGGCATCTGCTTTTTCACTAGCCAAGACTGTAGGCACTTAAGAGGGATTTGTCCCTCCACAGGGTGGCACCTGCCCCTCCAGGGGTTCCTTTTATTCAGTTACAAGGGTCTATATAAAGTGCTGCTGTCTGGAAAGTATTTTGAAGAGATTCCTCTCTGCTCTTCACTAAGGGTTATAAATTCAGCTGTTATTTGAGAGAATCTCAAATGTACTTCCAGGACTGTTTGCTGAGGGCTTTACATCTGCCAGAGGCCCCTTAAAATAAAAGGATTATTGGGAGTCAAGTGTTAGATTACCTGGTGCTTGTTAATTGAACTTCAGAGGCTTTAGCGAGCAACTGGCTCTAGCAGGGAGCTGCACTTTGATATTAATGGTGTTATATAAATGAATATAATGTAACCTAACGTCATGCTTCCTCATCATGCCACATCTCTGGGCTCAGGGCAGTAGTGAGTCCAGCTTACAAGCATACCGGATATAGGGAAAGGCAGGGTAGATGTATGTGGAGAGGGAGAAGGATTGGGAATCAAGGCCTTTGGGATTTGAGGAAAGAGTGTTTTTCAGTGCTCAGAGCAGGTGACTGGTGCTCAGCCAGCTCGAGTCCAGTTCCTGTCTCCCTTTGGCAGTCTGACCTTGGGATTTGATTTTGAGAAGAGCTGAGTTTAATGGAAGCAGTGAATGACAAGACCATCTGAAAATCCAACTCTTCTTCCTGCAGGGCTTATTTTACCTAGGCTTGCAAAAAGCTTGAAGATCCTACTCCGACAAGTCACCAAAAGAAAGCAAAGTACTCTCATGGTTGCTGCCATCGGTGTGCACCCACGGAAACCTGAACAGGCCACAACTGTGAAGGCTCCAAGGCAGCAAGGGCCGGTGGAAATGAGAAACCTCATCAGCTATGAAAATTTCATCAGCTGGTGCTGTGGAAGCAAGAATCTGGAAGTGCAGAGCAGATGGGCAGCCTGGATTCTTGGAGCCATTGTCCTTCTACTTGTTATCTGACTCCGGCACAGGGAGGATTTGGAGAATTTATGGGGGCACAAGTATCGAAGGCTTTCTTGAAATATCCCTGGCTGACGTGTGGTGTGGTGCAGACGGCACTTGCTGGGTGCACAGCAGACGTTTCTGCACAATATTCCCAAGGTCATGGAATTGGGGTCCTGCTGAGCACCTGTCTTTTATTGTGTAAGAGAGGGCAGAGTTTGGGCAGAGTTTGGGCAGAGTTTGCAATGCCGTGAGGCTGGTACTACATGAATGCAAATCTGAAGGCTTTGCAAATGTAGTAGTACATTGAAAAATGTCATACAAATACTATCGGGACTTTTTTTGACTGGACAAATTCCCTCTGAACTAGGCTCCATTATTAACTGTGTGTATAATCTATTCATGAGATGTTTGTGAAAGAAAGGATAGAAACAGAGGTAAGTCTATGCACCAGGCATGAGAAGCAATGGAAGAAGTACCCAGCTGAGCTCAGAATGGAATAAATGGATTGATTTGATTTCAAAATTAAAATGCATTGACTTTTCAAAGTTCCAAGATTAGAAAAATATAGTGGAAGATTTTGCAAATAAATATTAAAGCACATTCCCAAATTGTGTCAGGGTTTGACTAGCTTTTGACAGGTACACGCTGTCCTCAGCTCCTCTCCTTTAAGAAGCACATAGTTGTCCTTGGGGGCTTTTGGGTAGATTTTTCCATTTACTGCTCTCCTCCTCTCTCTCCCTCTCCTTCCCTGGCCCTACGGTTGGGGTTGTACTTCCCTAGTGACAGGCTGGGATACGCCCCAGGCCGTCAGGGTGTTTCTCAGAACCGGGGCACGTAGGAAGGGGCAGGAGCTGATCATGGACACTGAAATTCGGGGCACGTAGGAAGGGGCAGGAGCTGATCCTGGGCCCTCGCCCTGACACTGGAAGGTTCTGTCCCCCTGCCCCCTCAAGGTGTTTCTCCCCACATGTGGGCAGAGCCAGGAGCCCACCCGGGCACTGCCGCGCGGCTCCCGCCCCTCGCGCTGCCAGGACCGCCCGACTCGCGCCCTGCCCGGCCCCGCCCCCCGCGCGTGCCGCCCGATGACGCAGGCGCGCCGCGGCGTGGGGATTCCGCCGGATTACCCGGCGTGCCCCGCAGCAAAATGGCGGCCTGAGGCGAGAGAGCGGGGCCGGGGCCGGGCGGGGGCAAAGTTTGGGGCGGGCCTGAGGCGGGGCCGATCCGGGGCCGAACAGGCCGCAAAGTCACTGGGACCCCCGGCGGAGCCGAGCCCAACCGGGTCAGAGCCGGGCTGGGGCTCCGGGGGCGGGGAGTGGCGAATGCGACCGGCTGGGGACCGAGCCCCGGGCGGGGATCCCTGCGCTCCCGGGCCGCTCCGGCCTTCCCGGGCGGGCTTCGGGCGGTGGGGTGGGGGGGCCTTCCTACCCACGTGTGTGGCGAGGAATTGTGCAGTGCCTCGAGGACAGCGGGTCCGGGCGGGTCGCACCGCGGGCAGGGAGGGCTCAGCCCGGTGGGGCGGGGGCCGGGTGTTGGAGGGCGCTGAGGCAACAGCCTGGGACACGGGGAAGGGACGGTCCCCGTGATAGTCACTTCCTCAGCCATCAGGGCGTTAGGGAGCTCTCCCTCACGGGGAGGGACCTGTGTCAGGGAGCAGCGCGGGCAGGGAAGCGGGACCTGGACCACGCAGGGTGTAGCCGTGTCTGGGTGATGGGGAATTAGGGGGCGTGGGGGTTGAGAAGGCAGTATCCGTATTGGGAGCGCTGCTGGGATAGGAACTGCAAAGTGGAACAAGTCTGGGCCAGCACGTGTGTTAAAAGAACCAGAATATAACTGGCAGACGCAGGGCTGGAAGGGAAGAATCAGCACTCCTCTGGTGTCAGGCTCAGCAGGGGTTAATGGGAAGTTCTCTACCAGCCTGAACATTCTCTCTAGTGCAAGGGATGCTTCCTGCTGTAGGACTAGTGATCAACCTCTGGGAACGTGGAAGGACTTTAAAGGAATGCATGTGTACAGTAAATACTGAACTGCATCTAGCTCTAAGCTGGAGCACTCTACATGGAGCATAGTAAAACACTGAGTGCTAATACACAGATTTTTAGGTGGACAGGAGGTTGCACTGGTAGGTGTTGCGGTGTGCAAATGACGTGCGGCAAGGCTGAGAGTGACCTAGATCGGAGAGATACCAGGTGGATGTTGTCCACTGAAAAGAATCATCCATCACATGTATATAGTTCTGTGCCAGTGAAAGCTTTTCAGAGGTATGCATCTCTGTTTTACAGATTCAGAGAAGGAACCTAAAAAGGGCCTAACATAAGATGAAGCAATGAATCCTTGCTGAAGCATCAGACAGCAGGTAAGAAAGCCAGAAATGAGTTGATGCTGAGTCAGACTGCGTGCTTTTGGTCCCACTACTCGAATTTTTTGATAATATGTGAACTGCATACCTGAAAAACTGTCCCTCTCTGGTGTTCTCTGCATCATAGTAGGCCTATGTTGGCAGAATTGAGAGGCTGGGGTGTCAGTGAAATGGGAGTGACCCTGAGAAATTCAGTAAGAGTACCTGGGAAGAGAAGTTCAGTTAAAGTTGTAAGCCACTGCTCTTTACATGCCACCTGGAGAAGCAGCCTAAATCCTGCTCTGTTGGTGCTGAAGTAGCCATGCTCTCTATATAATCCAAAAGAGGTCTGCCCAGCCGTAATCCAAATTAAATCCTTCCTGATGAACCTGCTTTTGCAATAATTGCGATGTCAAAGTTCTGTTCCAGTTCTGTTCCAGTCTGTTCTGTCAGGTTATTTCTTCCACCACATTGTTTTTTCCACCCATATTGTAGCTGTTTCCCTGATGGGTGATGCAGATATACTGCTGGCCTTTCTGTCCTCTCCCAAACTCACTGCTGAGATCCGGTTTAGAGGTGCAGTTGTTTGATACCCAGCAGCTGGTCTTTGGATCATGCCTTTCAGTTACTTGTCAAGTCACATTTAATACAATTCCTTTCTCTTTTCTTCACCTTCTAGTGAATCACTGCAGAAAGCACATATATCTCAGCAGTGCGTGGCATACAGTGTGATTTAGCTTCTGGGTGTTAAATCTGCATTTTTGAGCTACCAGGTCTTAGCTGTGGTATCAGGAGCTTTTGGGTTTTCATTCCTTCCGAGGCACCCAGTGCTCTTGAAATCATGGGAATGCATTTTAGCAGGGCCAGCGGAGTTCCAAAGTGCAGCCCATGGCTATCTTCATCTTTAATATTAACAAGACATTGGGTCAGGAGGCGATGAGTTGCATGCCAAGACCTGTTGCCTCTTCAAACCAGCTTTCTGAACTAAAGATGACCTTGCGTGCTTTTCCAGTCTGTTTCAAGTTGTTTGTTGGCTCCTGCTAAGTCACTTGCTTTGCAGCCAACAAACCTGAATTCTTATCTCCACCATCCACTCTAAATACAATCATGTGGTGTAGCATGCAGGGGAAATAGACTATAGCCTTGAAAGAGGTGTACTCCTCTGCAAGTCTGCCTGCTTTTTGTCCCAGAGCAGAACTAATCAAGTCAGATGCCATGAATGATTTTTGGTCAGCGTGCTGGCCTGAATGGTACCAGAGCTGGCTTGGAGAAAGGGTTTGTGGCACCTGGTGTGGCCTATAAAACATTTTTAAAGAAGTGAAGAAGGCTGTTTGAACAGTAGCAAAATAAACAAATTTTAGTAAAATGCAACTGTATTTTTTCGTGGTTGTTTGAAGTGGATTTGATGCTTGTGAGTCCTGAAGGCTGATTATTTTTCTGAAGGTGAGCTGCCTAACCTGTTAAAACATCTGCTATGTTTTATGGAGGATTCACAGAAAACTAGACTCTCAGATTTCCATGTTTCACCATATCACAGTGTCATCCCAAGAAATAGTTCTGGAGGTTAGATCCTGGCGAAATAACCATGTTGTGTACTTGTTATCAAGGGCCTTGCTTCTACAGCATGGAGTGACAACAATAATGTAGTGGTGGCTAATAACTCTTTGTCTTTCATGTTGCTAGGAGAAATACAACATGTAAAGGTCTCAAATGAGCCTGCATGTGATACAAATTGAGGGTAGGATTCCTACACTAAAAAATGAGAATCTGGCTTGACACCTTTTCGACTCATCTCTGCTCTTTTAACTGGGCTTGTTGAGAACTGGAATTGTCATAATAGAGCAGATTTTCTCGACTGTTAGACTCAGTTAATGCTTTGAGAGTAAATTTAAGGTCCTGAAGCTGGATATATTCATCTCCTTGCTTGAAGGCTTTGGTTGGGAAGATATCTTCTTTCTGTGTGACACCCTGAGCTTTGGAGAGAATGAATGCCCATTGGCATTTATGCTAGCTGTGTATATTTCAAATCACCAGCTACTGGGTAAATACGATCCTCTCTGAAATTCATTTTACGCAGGACTGCAGAGGAACTATGTGTGTAATCTATGCAAACAGGGCTAATGCCTTAGGGCGTGAAATCTTCCATCCTGTTTCCCTGCCAGTTCCCCTACCTCAGGGCTTTTCCTTAGATCTAGATTGGCTGGGTCTGTAACTGTAGTAGGAAGAGTGCTACTTTTTAAAATTGAAGTATCTTTACAGCTCGTTGGAGGGGAAGGATGACACTGTGGTCAGAAGAACACCTAATTTCTGCACCATATTTGCTGTGTGAGTGTGTTCAGATCATTACTGTTTCTCACTCTGCTATCTTTGGTTGGAAAATATGATTAATGCCCATCTTACTGGGGATTTGAGGATGAATCCATTAGTGTATAGATGCTTGGATACTGTGGTGTTGAATGCTTTAGTAAAGCTTGGTGGACATGAGATGAAAAAGATATTTCAGGCCATGACTTCAAAATGAAGCAGACCCCTGTGTGATCCACTGTCCCGTGTGGTGAAATTGCTGTAGAGTGCAAGTCAGACCCTGCCTTGTTTAAGGCAGGTGGGCACTCTGAGACCTCACAGTTTTTCCTTTCCTATGAGCTTTTTGCTTGTTTTCTCTCACATAACACCTTGTCTCACTGAATCTTTTTGATTTAAATTAATATTTTCTCTTTTTTGCTCCTTTGTTCCAGACTTGGAAGCTGTTCTCTTCATTGTCAGGAAGTTCATGTATGGTTTTATGGCTCATATGCACAGACAGAGAGGGTCAAATGCAGCATCTTGCGGGCTGTTTCATATCTGGAATTACATGAGCCATCCTCTTGGGAGTGTCCTCCTGGGAGCTGTGCTTAGGAAGGAAATGATGGGGAAGGCCATGTAGGAGTGTGAGAATAGCATTGCAATGGTAGGAATGTAGAATAAGCATCACTTGGGTGGGCTCAGTTTTCCTCTGCTTTTCAACACTGCGGGGTGCCAAGCCTGAGGAAGACTTCTGTGCAGAGGTGAAGGAGCTGGCATGTATTCTTCAGTTGAGGTGAATGCAATTCAGTGAAACTGATAGGCATCAAACCGAATAATGATTTTAAAGTATTTTCACATGATGTCTAATCTGTGGAAATTCACTACCACATAATAGCACTCAGGCTAAGAGCTGAGCAGGATTCAGAAAAGATCAAGCATTTATGAGTGGAAATGTTCAGACTTGCTTTAGCTAAAGAACTTGTTTTAGAAGGTATATTTTTTCAGACATAGCCCAATCTCTTAACAGTTAAAGATTTGAAGAAAGAGCAATGTGTTCCATAATTCTCCACTAAGGCTTCTCGGTCCATCTGCTAAACCACCTTTATGTATTGGCTGTGTCAGGGGCAAGGTGTTGAATCACACTTATTTGCTACGTTGGGTTGCTCACTGACCTTGTCTTTGTGATAACTGCATTAGGAAAAAAAATCAAAAGCCACCAACCAAACAACAAATCCACAAAGCACTCCAGCTGCTCTGGTTAGACCTGATACTGGAGGATTTTAAGCTGATGAAGAGCAGGGTTCTGGGAAAGATAGTGCAGTCCATAGATGAGAGCTGTCTTACTGATGAATTTGAAGACATGTAGCTGTTGTCTCTTCATGCTGAGTGCTCAGGCAAAGTGCTTTCTGCTTCTTGCCTTTGCTCATAAAAGGGAAAAGAATGTGTGGAGTTCGACCTCTCCACGTTGCAGTCTTGTAGTGGACTTTGGAAGGTGGCTGGAAGGCAGGGCTTTAAGACTGTTCAGGTGAGTTTTAGTTAGTTGTAGCATAAGCCTCAATGTACTCAAGTCTGTGAAGACACAGTCTGTGTCCTCTGCTCCTGTCCAATCTGTAGATCAGGAAAATCGTCAGTGCTGCTTGATCAAGTAGGTATAAATTCAGTTTGATGCATAGGCCAATAAAGGTAATGGCACTGGCATGGAGATGTGTATAAAAAGGTGTGGTTTTGTAACGTGTGCCTAAATGCAAGGGGAACTCCTGAAGGAAAGAGTGTGTGTGGAGATTTTCAGAGCTAGGAGCAGGTTGTGCAAAGCTGAAGATCCCTGTATGGATACTGTCCCTATGGGCTTTTCTGGGAACAACATGTGCTTTAGGGTAAAACTTAAACCTTTTGTGGCAGGCCTAACAGCTATGAGTAAAGGGTTAGTGATGTTCAAAAAGGTTTTGTGCTGCCGAGAAAGTGAAATGGGTCAGGATTGGAAAGTGAGGTTTCCTGCGGGGGTTAGACTGGTTTTTAGGCACAGAGGATCTGACCAGCTGCTGGTGACAAGAGAGAACTGGTTTAAATTTTTGATTTCTAAGAATCAGCAAATTCAGAACTAGAAGTCCCACAGTGACCGCTCTGTGTTCAGTTGAGTTCTACATTTGTATTTTGTCTCCGTGATAAAGCTGGCTTTGGCAATGTTGTAGGAGTCCTAACTGGATATTCTTACTCTTGTGTTTTAGGTCTCAGTTGTCCACCTGCGTTAATGTAAAACTCATGCACAGATGGATGTGAAATCAAAGGGACAGATGAGGTGGTTTCTCTGACTATTGAGGAATTACATGTAGGCTCGTAAAAAGCCTTAGGCGAGTTTTACTTTATAGCATTTGTTTCAGAAGACTGTAAGTTATTTTCTCAAGATAATAATTAGATAATCATTGTGGCTGTAAGTTTTTTGACTATTGTTTTAGCATATGCTACTCAGGGTAACTGGCATATGTCTTGCTGCAGAAGCTTTCTACAGTTTCCAAAGATGCTTTGCTGCTCTGTCTCCTAAATCAGATTTCTTCCTGCAGCTTTGCTTTTCATTAGTGAGGACTCTGCTGCTGCCCAACAGAAAGGTTAAAAATATTCTAGGAAGATGACTTGAAATTCAGTGTATCTCACATAACTGAAAAGTGATTGCAGATAATTCTACTATTTTTCTTGTGTGTATTTTTATGTATTATTTTTTCCTTATTGAGAACTCTTCC